TTCTAGCCAGCATCACACTCTTGCCTTCTCTGAGCCCCAAGCAAGTGTGAGAATACCAATGCCCAAGACGACAGCTCAGGAGGCTGAAGCAGGGAGTCTCCTGCCCGGGGCCCGCCCGGTGACCTCACTGCCAAGGGGCGCTTCCAGGAGGCTGGCTTAGAAAGTCACCAGAAACTCGACAAGTAGCCAGATAAAATGTATCATACCGAGGACAACAGCATTCCTCTCCACCAGCAATAACCAACTGCAAAGCGGAGAAGGGATCCCGTTCACAAGGATGGCGAAAAACCATAAGACATCCAGGAATAAACCTAACACAGAATGCGCCATCTACACGGCTGCCACATGGAGAATAGCAGGAGGCCTGACAGAGGAGCAGAGAGGAAAAAAACCAACTGGTGAGATATCGCACTTTCCCAGAGGATAAAACTGAGTATTGTAAAGAAGCCTGTCCCCTCCCCCCCCCACAATTAATTTATAAACTCAGCACTCTCTCAATCAATATCCGAACAGGATTTTATATGGCACTCGATACACTAATTCTAAAATTCATCTGGAAGACAAAATAATCAAAACAGAATAATGAGGAAGATTTATTCTATCAGGTTTTTTAAAGCACATCATTAAACTTTAGGGATTTAAAGTGCTTTGGTAACTGTGGGACTATAGAAAAATAAATTTAAAAAAAAAATGTAGTGTCCAGAAACAACCTCATCTAGAACATGCATTTTAAATCAGTAAGGAATGGATGGATTAGTCAGTGGAACGGCCAATGCAGTGGTTATCCATTTGGAGGGTGGGGAGCTGAACCCCAACCTCATACCACAGACAAAAATTAAAAATGAAAACCACTCAGAAAAAAAAAAAAATCCAGACAGATTAAAGAGCTATATGTTAAAACAAAACCAAAAAGGCACCAAAAAACTATGAGAGCAGTAGAAGAAAATCTAGTTTATAAGCTCGATAGGAAGGTATTCCCAAACAAGATATAAATCACAAAAGCCAGGAAACAGAAAAGTCAGAATGCCATAAAGGAAAAACAAAAAAAGACTGATAAATTTGAGCGCTTCAAAATCTAAAACCCTCATAAAAAGAGTTAGAACAGTGACAAACTGTAAAAGAATATTTGCAAAATTCATCACAGGATTTATATCCTGAACATACAAAGCACCAAAAATTAATTTTAAAAATAGTATCTGAAACACATTATTTACTAATATTTTTTAACATGTGGATGGAAAAAAAAATAGCCCCCTCAAAAAATGGGCAAAGGACGTGATCAAGGAACTTACAGGACAGGAAATAAAAATGGGTCCAAAAACATAAAAGATGCTCAAACTCATGGTAATCAGGAAAATGGAAACATAACGAAATGAAACTGTTTCACCCAACAGATTGGTCACAATTAAAAAGACCGGTAACACCAGGTGTTGGTGAGGGCACTGCTATTTACAGGGTTGATGGACATTTTAGGGGCTGGTATATACTTTCTGAGGGAAACTGAGCATTTTTAATGTTTAAAATATGCGTATCTTCAACCTAGCAATTCATCTTCTATAGCCTGAAATAATACACATGTACAAAGAGGCCTGTAAAAGGATGCTCACTGCCAACACTGATTGTAAAGCAGAAACTGGAAATCCTCATTTCCATTAAAAAAAAAAAAAAGTTAAATAGACGAGACCCATACTCTGCAAATCTATGTAATAGCCAATAATGAGGATTTGTATGTTGACATGAGATCAAGATGTTACCAAACAAAAATGCAAGTTGCAGAACAAAACGTACAGAATGCCATTTATGTTTTTAAAGAGACACAAAGGACTTCCCTGGTGGCGCAGTGGTTAAGAATCCACCTGCCCAAGAACATACAGTGGAGAAAGGACAGCCTCTTCGATAAGTGGTGCTGGGAAAACCGGACAGCTACATGTAAAAGACTGAAATTAGAACACTCCCTAACACCATACACAAAAATACACCCAAAATGGATTAAAGACCTAAATTTAAGGCCAGACGCTATCAAACTCTTAGAGGAAACAATAGGCAGAACACTCTATGACATAAATCACAGCAAGATCCTTTTTGACCCACCTCCTAGAGAAATGGAAATAAAAACAAAAATAAACAAATGGGACCTAATGAAATTTCAAAGGTTTTGCACAGCTTTGCTGTGCAAAACAAGGTGAAAAGACAACCCTCAGAATGGGAGAAAATATTTGCAAAAGCAGCAACTGACAAAGGATTAATCTCCAAAATGTACAAGCAGCTCATGCAGCTCAATATCAAAAAAGCAAACAACCCAATCCAAAAATGGGCAGACCTAAATAGACATTTCTCCAAAGAAGACATACAGATGGCCAAGAAGCACATGAAAGGATGCTCAGCATCACTAATTATTAGAGAAATGCAAATCAAAACTACAGTGAGGTATCACCTCACACCAGTTAGAATGGGCATCCTCAGAAAATCTACAAACAACAAATGCTGGAGGGGGTGCGGAGAAAAGGGAGCCCTCTTGCACTGTTGGTGGGAATGTAAATTGATACAGCCGCTATGGGGAACAGTATGGAATTTCCTTAAAAAACTAAAAACAGAACTACCATATGATCCAGCAACCCCACTACTGGACATATACCCAGAGAAAACCATAATTCAAAAAGACACATGCACCCCAATGTTCATTGCAGCACTATTTACAATAGCCAGGTGATGGAAGCAACCTAAATGCCCATCGACAAACGAATGGATAAAGAAGTTATGGTACATATATACAATGGAATATTACTCAGCCATAAAAAGGAACGAAATTGAGCCATTTGTTGAGACGTGGACAGATCTAGAGACTGTCATACAGAGTGAAGTAAGTCAGAAAGAGAAAAACAAATACCGTATGCTAACACATATATATGGAATCTAAAAAACAAGCAAAAAAAAAGGTCATGGGGCTTCCCTGGTGGCGCAGTGGTTGGGAGTCCGC